ATTAAAAACATTCCCCCCCCCCCCCGCCCCATTTATTCAGTTTTCAAGCGCTTTCATTAATTTACAAGACTCCAAAGTTCTTTAGTGAAGGGAGATATTGATATTACGAGAAATATCTCTTTGAATTCACGGTGTCCCATATTTATTATTTCCATTAAAACATGAAAGTAAATCATAGTCAGAAGTTTGAAAGAAGTACTTTTCTTCTTACCGGAAATCACGACAGTAATTTCGACCCTTTGGAGTTGAATAAAAAAAAAAAGGAGGAGGGAGTAAAAGACCTGGGGGTGGAGTGGCCCTCGGAGTTTTAAGTTTTAAAATGCCGTTGGATCGTAACATTTGAGACCCTACTTTCACACGGAATCATCAGTGACAGCCAGTCCGCCCTCCCTCTCTCAAAAAGATTCGGATCATTTGCTAAAGTGCTACTTTGTGTCGCATAAAATGAAAGACTGAGTCGTCTCTCTGCGCGACATTTTCACTTTTTGTCGATTTTTTATGCCCTGATAAAATCGAGTTTTTATTCAGCCGGTTCAAACACTAGACATCTAATGGGAGAAGATGATAATTTCGATGTGACTAATCGTTCAAACAGCAGTAGACACTGTGAATTACAGCGGTTGCGGTAACTCATCGCGAAGAAATATGACATGCTGGTGAAATAAAACTGAAAAAAAAAATGGAAAAAACAATTTTATTTCTTTGGCACGCGCGATCATTACTGCCGAGGCAATGTCGAATACAACCCCACCCGCGGAGTGAAAGAAAATACCACCGACATTGGCGACAAAAGGCTGATTGATTGTCCTGTTGAGAAAACTTTGAGCGTAACCCAACTTCTCTCAACTCTGTAATGCCTTTTCGCCTTCTATTATGCTTTTTATTTCGATTCAGTGTCGCATTTCTTTCCCATTCGGGGGGGTTATCAATTGAGTCTCGTCACCCTCAATTAATCACCCAGGACATCTGAATTTTATTGTTTCACCGGAGATATTCCAACTGTTTTCATTGAAGTAAAATCAAAATGCTACTTGAAATCGAAAGAATAAAACGACGAATTCAGGAGAGTGACGTTAAATGTTATTTAGGGGGGACAAAATAATGAAGTTTCACATTTCTGCCAACAATTTTTAACAGTACATTTATTTATTCAGCACAGAATGAATTAAAACGAAACATTACAACAAACAAAACCAATAGAATTATCAAAGAAAATATTGCAAATTATTTGAATCAAACAAGTAATTATGAATCCATTAGTTGTTCTGAAATATTAATAATCACATTTACCTGAGCACTTGAAATTTCTGTAAACGACACTGTATTATTGATATTCTATTGAACATTGAGGAGCCCCCTGCAGGCAGCCCTCAGTGCTCACTGTCGAACCCCAGTCATGGTGTATGAATAATTTTCACCTCGTTCAACCCCATTGCATCAAGTTACAAAGATCGATCGACTGAAATTGAATATTCCGACTGTGAAAACGTTGTTTCAAAATTCACATCATCAATTCTCGTCACTCTTCATTACCGCCTCCAGGGGTTGCAAATAAATTCCAAGACTGGTGAAATTTTTTCCCCCCAAGATATTTAATCACTTCGGCTGTGGCGGCTACAGCCCAGGAATTCCCATAGACTGTCAGACCTTTTCCCTCCCAAAACACTTCAGTATATTGTATATCGAGTATTATAAGCGTCAGGGTGGTGGCTGATTGAAAAGTTAGTGCTTCCCCAATCGAGAAGATGAGTCCTTGGAATTAAATCACAGTCACGGAAGTGAGGACAGCATCGTGGGGGGGGGAGAAGGATTCCAGGCTTTTGCTGAGTTACTGGTGGTGAGGGTTCGTTTGGGCCGTGGGGTCGTGGCTCGTTGAGATTGTTGCGGCGTTTGTCACTCGCTCCATTAGACGGTATTTGGCTCGTTTCCGTTAGAGGGAGCTGAGACTAACTGCCAAGCGTTTGAATCCAAGACACCATTTCATTCTTCTAGCTGATGTCTACATTTTTCTGGGATGTTTCTCATCTATTTTTTCGGGGGTTAAAACGATTCTGGTGATGGGAATTGTTATGTTCCATTGGGAAAGGGCATTGAAGGGTTCATGGAGTTGAACGAGGAAATTGGTTAGAAATAATGAGAGTTATAAATTCTGGATTGTCTTGGGGATTTTTTTTTTATCGGTCGCATGTTGTTTATGGGGGGAAGTGTGGGTTAAGCTCGAGATTGAATTGATTGGGTGAAAATAGAGGGTTGAATGACGTTTTATTCAATCCAAAACTGAAATTTACAATTTTCATTGATTTTTCTGTAAATGGGAATGAAAAGTCCGGAAAATTCAGAGAAATCTCTTCTTAAATTCCAAATTCCTCTGAATTTTCAGGGAATTCTTTCAAAAATTTGTAGAATTCCACGAACGTCAAAAGAATTTCCTGAAAATTCAAGGGAATTTGGCACTGAATATTCATTTTCACTTGACAATTCATGTAAATTATCGAATATCCGTTTTCCTGCTGCGAAAAAAAAAAATTCATGTACTTGAATTTTCAGAGAAACTTGAAATTACATTGACGTTTTCCCCTCAAATCGAATTCCAACTCTTTTCCCGGAAGATTCAGCTAAATTTTTTTAACATTGTCCCGAAATTAAAGCCAAAATTTTTTGCCAGTGTTTCATGAACATGAACAGGAAAATTGATGAAAAATAACGACCGCCATATCACCTCAAGTGTCCTATTATAATTTATACCTCATATTCCTCTCTCATTATCACCAAAACAGTAGTGCAACCTTCCACATTTAGCAGTGTCGCGCACAGTGGCTCACGCATGTTACCCCAGTATAATGCCCAGTGAAACACAGCAGGTGGTTCGCTTATTTTTCTCACATGCCCTCTCGTCCTCCTCCACTCAAGTCTGCTGAGGAAAAAAAGCCCCCTCTCCCCTCCCT